ATATATATATATATATATATATATATATATATATATATATATATATATATATATATATATATATTTGACATGGCGTGTTACTTACTTTGGCACATTTATATATTGTGATGATTGCCATTGAAGCAATATTTATCACATTATGTCATGATAGTACAGTGTTATTGACTATATTCATTATACTGTGCATTTGATCACTACGGCTTATTCACTACTTGTTACAACTTTGTACCATCAATCTTATCCTCCCACCTCCCATCCCCTGGTAACTACCATTTTACTCTGTTTTGTTTTGTTTTTTAAATAGCTTTGACATTCTTTTTTAGATTCTACATATAAGTAATATCATACAGCACTTGTCTTTTTCTGTATGATTTATCTCAGTTAGCATAATGTGCTCAAGGTCCATCCACATTGTAGCAAATAGTAGAATTTCCTCCTTTCTCATGGCTGAGTAACATTCCATTGTGTGTGTGTGTGTGTGTGTGTGTGTGTGTGTGTGTGTGTATAAATATCACATCTTTTTTATCCATTCACCCATTGATGGGCATTTGATTTGTTTTCATATCTTGGTTATCATGAGTAATGCTGCGATAAACACAGGTATGCATATATCTTGTTGAAATCCTGTTTTCATTTCCTTTGGGTGCTCAGAAGTGGAATTTCTGGATCCTATGATAGATCTACTTTTATGTTTTGAGGAACCTCCACATTGTTTTCCATAGTGGCTGAACTAATTTACAATCCCACCAATAGTGTGTAAGGATTTCCCCATATCCTTGCCAGCATCTGTTGTCGCTTATCTTTTTGATGATAAGCATGACGTGATGTCTCATTGTGGTTTTGATTTGCATTTCCCTGATGATTAGAGAAGTCGAGCACGTTTTCATGTGCCTGTTGGCCACTTGTACATCTACTTTGGAAAAATGTCTATTTAGTTCTTCTGCCCATTTTTTAATTGGGTTGTTTTTGTTATTAAGTTGTATTAGTTCTTTATATATTTTAGATATTAACCCCTTTTAGATTGAACATATCCTTTTTGAGTAAGATCTGGGTACTCCAAGTTTGAACATCCTGAAGACAATTATTCTAGTGTTGTACTAACTGTGTTGATCTCTGGTTTCCATCAGATCATTCAACTGGTTACTTAAGCAATTTGAGATTGAACCCTCTAAGTTCCACTCTAGTAATATTTCCTTGGATTTAAATATTACACTCAGAGTTTAAAAGGATTTTAACTTAAAAACACTGTTGATGGCTACTGACTGCATCTGATCCAACATTTGAAAAGGGATAACCAATGAGACTCATTGTTCTGATTGAACGAGAAGTTTCTCCAGGAAGTCCTTGTCTGACCCAACATTAACACCTCCCATGTTACATACCGATATCACTACAGTATAAGGAAGACCTTCCTCTTTCTGCTGGAGTGGTGTAACCCAGCTGGTTATTGACAATCAAATGGACACTCCCACCAATTCTGAAATGTGGGAGATTAGAGAGTGTAAATGTTTCAGGAACAATCCCTTGACCACAGAAAGAAGCATCACCGTGAACCTAAATCATAGGGGAGAAAAAAAAAAAGGAACATAAGGGATGGAGAAATTTATGGCTTTCAGACTGGAATAAATTGTTTTCAAATAATAACAGGAATGAAACAACCGCCCTCTCACTATTCCCCTGCCCTCCTAAAAATCTGATGGCTGTAGATCAGTTATGCCGATCTCAAGCAGCTTTCGAAGATGCTCACTCAGTCCTTTTCCCCTTGTAGCCACCGCTAGTTGACCCACTCCTTCCAGCCCACATTATCACCTACACCCATCACTTTAGTATACTCAGCAGTCTACTGCATGCGTACAGCAGCATCATAGAAGGAAGGGCTATTGGAAGTGCAGAAGGAGACCAGCTCTAGAAAAGCTTTCATGAAAACAGCCTGCAAGAAACAAGGAACAGTGCACAGCTTTAGACTTTCCTTCTTCCCCAAACATCTTGTCCCTGAAAAGAAACTGCATGCAGCTCACGTCTGCTAATGGTGTGTTGAACACCATTGTGAACATAAAGGAGAGTGATGTGACAGCAGATATAGGAGGCGTGGGGGGAAAGTACATGATACATTAGTGAAAGGATGTTTTGAGGAAAACACAAAATGCTACTATGAGACAATGTCTAAAATGTGCTACTCTAGTCTGCTAGATTGTAATGTCATCAATAAACATGGTGGTTGGAAGGTGACAGAATGGGGGGAAATGTTTTTTAGAAAAATTGGAAGCAAATAATCAGGGAATTGTAGCTCTTAGAAGAAAATGTGATCTCTACAGACATCAGGCTAAAAGACAGTTATCATAAACAGCCAAGATGTGGGCAGGTGGCCAGTTAGCTCAGTTGCTTAGAGTGCAGTGCTCACAACACCAAGGTTACTGATTTGATCCCCACATGGGCCACTGAGTTGTGCCCTCCACAACTAGATTGAAACAACTACTTGACTTGGAGCTGATGGGTCCTGGAAACACACACTGCTGCCCAATAAAATAAAATTTAAAAATAAATAAATAAATAAATAGCCAAGATGCTGAACTAAATAAAATGATCTGATATGCCCTGACTTAAGGCAACTGTTGTGGTCTAATAGAAACAGAATCAAAAGACCTAAATATGAATGAAGAAAGAATATTTAGAAGTAGATTTTTAAATGGCATTGATAATGTTCTGTAGAGTCATTTTCATATAAGTAGAATATTTTGGCTAAGAAAGCACTAGGATAACTATTGCATTGTTCTGTACACCTGAAACTAACAATTAAAAAAAAAAAAAAAGAAAGCACTACTTTGCCTAAGTGAAATTTCCAGTCCATATCTTCCCACTGCTAGGGTCTACAAGGATGACTGACATTTTGGAGTATCTCTACCTAGTAATAACATAACCCTCAGAACATGAGGAGGGTAAGATATTCCCATTTTACCTATGAGACTCAAAGAACCAAGCTAGAAGGCGGCAAAGCCAGGATTTGAACTCAGGTCTGCTTGGTTCCAGAGTCCTTGTCTTATCTACACGGCGCTACATGGTCAAGTACAACCCGCAGCCACACGGCGGCCCACACAATTTCAAGGGGTTTCTCACCCTTAGGCCTCCTTGCTGATGGGATTTCTTGTGGGATGAAGATATAAAAGAAGGTCAGTAAAGCAAGGAAGAGAGATGTGTGTCTTTTCTGCTTTTATAAAAATGTTACAGTAGAGGTATTGATAAGAACATATGTTCATAACTTACATTGTTGTATCCTGGTCTTAGGACTCTTGGCACTAAAGCATACCTGTGTCATTTGCTACTTTTATTTTCCTTCTTAGATAAAAAAGGAAACCACTCCACTATGCTCCATAAAGCTTTGTGGGATTAAGGGTCCATAAGCACAAATGCTGGGTAAGGTGGAAGCTGCTCATTCAAACACGACAGGGTGGGGGCGAGAGGTGGGACACACACAGATCACAAAAGAAAATCCACTTTCAACAGATCCAGGACTCAGACAAACAGAAGACAGGCAGAAAAGCAGCACCGGGAATCTCACCCACCGGCTCCAAACTTAGAATTCCCACAAGAAAGTAGAACTGCGACTTGAGCAAGGCAAGACATGTACAGACAGAGCAGGGCCAAATACTTGGGAACATAAAGTAGATAAAAGAGTGTAGTCAGTTTTCTCATCTCTCTAAAGAAAATGCCATTTTCACCTCTCACTTCAGAAATCAATCTTAAGAGCTGCTTAATATAGTGGGTAAATGTGAATGACTAAAATATATCAGAGTACCGTGAGTTAAGTGAAAGGTAAAGAGAACATCTGGCTAATGATTTGGAGGTTTATATTTAGAAGTATCATATCATCATCCAATCCAATTCGTCTACCCCCAATTTATTTTCTACAAGTTTCTGGCCTGTGAAATATTAACATGAATAGATAATGTGGTTATTTGTATACATAGCCAAATATTCTACTTATAGATATGTATTATAGATTTCTGTTGGGTGTGAAGACTCAGTTACCAATATCCAAGATTATCTCCCAGTAGTTAAAGGTCCATATGTAAATAAAAACTTGTAGAAAAAAAAATGTGAGTCATGGGGATATAACGTAAAGCATAGGGAATACAGTTAATACTGTGGTCATAACAAGGTATAGTGCCAGGTGGGTACTAGACTAGTCAGGGGGATCACTTCTTAAGTTATATAACTGTCTAACCACTGTGCTGTACACCTGAAATTAATATAAAATATTATTGAATGTCAAAATAAATAAAGTGTAAAAAAAAAAAAGCAGCAAAAAATAAATAAATGCAGACTCTTGTAGCCTTGTAGTTTCTGAGAAGGCCATACTTTCAGAGAAGCAATGACATCTTAGCAGGAGCAGGTATGTCAGTCAATATCCCCTTAATTAACTCATAACTCAAGAAAGAAAACACAGTGAAAACCTCAATCTAAAGTCAAATGCCTTGAGACTANCTATCCTTAGAAAAGCCTACTTGCAAGGTTGGCCCTCGGCTGGTGTCTGGGAACTTGGGTTTCAGGAATGCCCTCACCTGTCTTAACTGATAAGTGTGGTACACTATGCCTGAACTGTATGTGCAAACAACGTGGCTTATGCTGAACACCTGCTTTCCTTCTGGGAGTCTGGAATTTTGGCACGTGCAGATGGTGCTTACATAAACATCCCCCAATAAAAGCCTTGGGTACATAGTGTCTAATGGGCTTCCCTGGGCAGAGACATTGCATATATGTTGCAGTGTTTTTGTAGCTTGAAGAGGTGTGCATTCTGTGTCACCACTCATGGGAGAGGGAGCCTAGGGAAGCCTGCACAACGATACCTCCAGATTCTTGCTGTGACTTTTTCCATTCTGATCCAGCTGTGTGCCCCTATTACATCACTGTAATAAATCTTAGCCTTGAGTGCACTATATGCTGAGTGCCATGAGTCTTTCTGGCAAATCTCCGATTGTGGCGTGGTCTGGAAGACATCCAACACACCTTATGGGTGATACAGAAACTGAGTATGTTAACAGCTGTGCCCTATGAGCTCATACACGGCTTCTGTCAATATTCCCAGAGTTGGCTCTGGTTTATTCCACACATCCTTTGGGCCGTTCCCTGGTGGTCTAGTAGTCAGGATTCGGTGCTGTCACACATCCTTCAGTTCTAGAAGACACCCTGTAGCTTTCAGATAAAGTCTCCTCTTTGCTTAAGATAGCCAGAGTTGGTTTCTATTGCCAGTGACCAGAAGAATCTTAGCTAATACAAGAAGTAAAAAAATAATTATGATAGGGATATCTACATCAATTACTTTACTCTCTGTTGTAAGCAAACATGGTGGGGGCACTGAATAGTGTTTTATTTTCAGGAAGAAAAGTGTTCATATTAACCAGCGTAAGTACACTGACAGACAAACTCAGCTAAACTTAGTGCTTAAACTAAAAGTCAATACAGTACTTTTTTATCATCTGGTCATAAATAGCCTGCCAAAAAAAAAAAACTATCTAGATCATACCACAGTGTATTTCCATTCAAGGCAGCATTTGCGTAAAGCAAGTGGTAACATTAGGTATCTATAAAAACACTGAAGACTCTAGGAAAGGGGAATTCATAATCGGTGCCCCGTATGACCCTATAAAAACGAGATGGCTGCCTCCAGCTTCAACTTAGGAACTTCATAGATAGCCACATTAAAAGCTAAGACTTTGTACCAGAATACCTATATTCTTTACAACAAACTCAGATAGATCTAGGCTGTGCAACAGAATTCATTTCATATCATACCCTCCCTTTCCATATCAAACNACTTCATATCTACTATTGATTTTTAAAACAACCCCAGAGACTTCTTTTCCCAAACGTTCATCTCAGTTACATCTTGAGTATCTTCCATCTCCTTTCAGACCTAGCAATCCAGACATTCTTTCTCCCTAGCCCATCTTCCCAACCTCTTGTCTCATTGCCTGAAGTTACAAGTACCTGTAAGCAAATGACTTTGTCCCCAGGCTGGGCAGAACTGTCTGGAGAGTAGTCCCCATCCTGCCTGGACTGTTGCCTTCCCCGAGTCTTCCCAACAGCCACGGGGTTAACGGCCTCTAGGTGCGAGGGGTTAGGCAGCATTGTCACGTGCAGGGGATGGTGCGCACCAAAGTCCAGGTCCACCGAGGAGGTCAGGTGAGACAGGACATCTCCAGTGGCTGAAACATTTTCTGGAAATTCACTTAGGCCTCGCATTTTACGAAACATCAGCTATCATGGATACATGTACAAGAAAAAAATGTCTTTTATCACATTGGAGACTAGGGAAGAGGTGGTAAGTTTAAATTATACAGTACCAAAAAAAACTTTATGCATGTTTTTATAATAATTATCATGCATTGTTTAAAAATAGGCACAAATTTCTAACTGTTCGAATGCACAGAGGTGCATTCTATTTGGAGATTTTCACAATCTAATGAATTCCCAACACTATATGAAAAGTTTAATATGACGCAGACAGTAGTAAGTTACCTCTGCCTTGCAATAAGCAAAATGAAATTTTTAAATACACCTGTCAGAATATATTTTCAAAAGAACTTTGTATTAATTTTGTTAAGGATACAGAGGAGAATAATAGAATAGAACTTAATCCCATTCAGCCAGGGGATGATGTATACAGTTTAGCTCACATCTAAAAAGCTATACTGTCCAGTTCTCAAGGGACTTCTCTACATACATTCTCTGGCTTCATTTTCAGTCTTCTAGGAGATAGATGTTACTACTCATTTTTAAAATGAACAAGCAAGAGGAATTGGCTAAATTGTTCAAGTTCCTTGGCTAGTAAGTAATAAAGGTGGATCTCAAACCAAGGTATTTACCAAAACAGTGTGAGGATTATTGGAAAAGCTTCTTACTGACCTATCTACAAATAGGTACATACATACTCACACAGTGTAGATAAGATGTGTTTCTCACAAAGGTGATCCTTTGTAATCATCTCTGTGTCTTTGAGTAATTTCTTTGTCTGAGATATTTTAGGAATGTAATTTTTGGTTTAAGAATTTCTGCACAGATCAAAACACTTGCCTCCACCTGTCAATGACTTTATCCTGCCGTACTGTACCTTTTATAAGGTATTTGTCTTATAAAAGCTGATTATCAGTCTCTTAGCATCAGAAACACTGAGGTATGATGAATAGTGGTAAAGCTTGGCTCCTAGACATGACACGACATAGATTTTCTAATATTCTTAAGGATAACACATCCTTCCGTGGGCTCTATTCACGCCATCTAACTTTGACAGTTCCTTTAACACTTATAATTATTTTTATTCTCCTGCATAAGAACAGTAGTGAGGTTTATCCACACATAATGGCCACAATTTTATTAAATATCAAATCTCTCTGATGTTCCCTGACATCAGATTTTCAGTCCTGGCTGTCAAGTCTTTTGAAAGATTTATAGAGCAGCTGAGTTGGACTGAACAGAAATACCAAAACCCTCACACCTGTAAAACCACTCACTTAGGTGGTCTCTTGAGACAACAATGTGTTATTAGTTTTATACAATCTATTAACTATAAATTCTGCAAATAAGTAGAAGGTAAAATTGCATAAAATGGCACAGGCCTCTGTGTTCATTTGAACAATTTTTGTTAAGTAAGAAAAGAGTGCTTCAAAGAACAGAATTTATTCATAAAATCCTTCAGGAAACAAACTAATCCTTAACCTCCCTGAGAGAAGAAAGAATCCATATAAGATTATATAGAAAATCAACCCAAACACCAGTTCTATCCAGCAGCATTGGGTTCTGTCAATTAAGTCAGCTACATCATATACCAACAGCTCATATGCTTTGTCAGTTTTCTAAAAGGAATTATTACCATCAGTTTTATTCTGTTACAGTCAATTATCACAGAAAGTATCTTACCTCTGGAGGGAACTGCAAAAGTCCTGTCAGTAAATTAAGTCTCCCTCTATGGGGCATCCCAATGATGACATCGGTGATCCCACTGTAGGCTGACATTTTCAGCAACTCATGGAAAAAGCCCATCATGCTTTCAGCTCCTTCGCCTCCATATCGCTTCACTGTGGCAAACTTGGTAGCCAAAAAGTGGTCAAACTCCTATAGACATCATATCAGACACAGTTACAGGAAGATAGCTGACTGCTCAGGCCAAAGTCAGACACACTGATGTGTGTCGTTAAGAAGACCCCCCCACACTTCCAGTGGCTGCAGCAGTGCCCCCTCACTGCATGTCCCAAAAGCAGACATGGTTCCCCAGGGCCTGGCAGGAAAGCCTTGCTAAGGATGCCAGACAGCAGTGGGGGATGCAGAGAAAATGACCTGAGAGGTAGAATAACCTACCCCAAGAGGAATCCCCTTAGAATGTAGGTTCTTCTAGAGTAGGGCTGGGCCTTAGGTTTCTGCTGCTCTCCCATTACCTGAGTTCTAGTTTCAAGCTCTATAGTACTATTATATTTTCATCAAGGTTGCAAATTAGCCAACTGTCCAAATGACTGGGAATAGTTTCTTGTCATCTTGATATGCCTGAGTCCTGATCATAGATGGCCCTGACAGAGATTCAATGCCATTATTTGTATTGATTTGTCTTTCATGTAGTTTTTTTTTTTAATCACTTTGGTAATAAAAAGAGAAGATCTTAAGGATTTTTCAGTCTTTTATAGAGTGAATAGACAAATATGCAAAAAGTATTTTCACTGTGAGGAAAACCAAAAGGTCCATTGCTTGGTGATCTACTTTTCCCTGCTTAGAATGAGGAGGTATGTTCAGAGAGGTAATGCCTAATTCCCTCTCCTTAATATTTATATGTCTTTGTAGAAAATGAGCTGATCTATTCCACTGATATTAGCTGCTGCTTTTATACCTGAGATTCTAGCATTAGTTTGGACAGATGTTTTTTCTCTTCTGTGGTAAATGTCTCCTTTTTCAGTTCCTCAAATCGCTTGGCAAAGAAGTCTTTCTCCTCTTGACTCTGAAGTTGGGAGGTTTCAATAGAAATCTGCCCGCAGTAGATTTGGTCGAGATAGGCTAACACTTCCTCAAGTGAGGCCTCGTCCTTTCCCATGTTCAATAGTCCTATGAAAGGAAATCAAAGGGATCATTTTGAAGAAGAATCAACCACGTACTTAAGTAATTATAGAACATACCAAAATAATGATTTCAGTTCAGAACATTTCATTCCGAATAACTTGGGTCAATATCAATACTTATCTATATTTTCTAGAAGCAAAGTTAAAAATATGATCAAAAGCCATGAAGAGGTAAAACTAGAAGAGGTAAAAAAAAAAATCTTCCTTCACAAGGACAGAGCCACGCTGTTTTATACCAAATTTTGATTCTATAGTCATTTCAAAGTGAAATTTAAAACCTACTTTTCATCTGTTTTATAGCTACAAATCATACATCCTACCTTTATCTCAAATATCTGTCTACCAAAATATTCATCTTAATAATATCTATAAAGCAATATCTATTATTGAACAGTTGTTCTTAATGTGAACTAATATTGAGAGTAAAGCAATATTTTAAGGTAAAAGGAAATATCCCTGAACCTCGGTCAAAGAAAAGGAAGGTTCGTAATATGTCATCAGCTCAGCACCAACTCAGTTATCAGTTATTTGCCTAAACCTATAACATGAGTTAACAACCAACATTTATTTTATATTGTTTATGGTTTCTTACAATAAAATTTAGATCTTTGATACTGATTGACCAGTGCTGCAATGAACA